ATCCAAGCCAGAATCGATTTTAATCGATGAATCGATTATAAAAACCCACCCCTAATTTTATTAGATTGCACTGCGAAAGAAGATTTTAATATCTCCTTCAGGACTTTGAATCAGAACTTATGATGGAGAGGGGATCTCAAGTCACCTCTAATTTAATTAAAAAAAAACCTCTTTTAATTAAACCAGAGAAATACCTTGGTTGAACAAATGTACAAACTGTGCTTTGTAATAGATATCTGATTCTCACAGGAGAGCGACCACATGATTTAACTGAATGTGATGCACGACTGTAGAATAAACAGAATATAGTATTTAAAAGATTAATAGAACATTAGTAGAAATTTGACAGCAGAAATACCAATACTATACAACACTGAATGGGGAAAATCGTTGCAGAATGAGTCATTTTTGCAAACAATTGTATGTACAGTTTGCCAGTAATGCACAGTTTATGTGTAGTGAGGTCTGTTTATAGTGTTTTATTGCTCCTATTATTACTACAATTCTTATCAATTCCTGCAGAATTCATCATGGTGAGATAATGCAAAATATGATGATAACTATAAAAGTCAGACCTTTTCATAATTCTTCAGCCAGGAATGAGTGCAGAAAGGTTGCAGATGTCTATGCCTATTTAAGTACAGCATATAAAAAAAGAACAAATGAAAATACAGAATCATACACTGGTACGCTGATTAAATGTGTTCGTTATCTCTATTCTCTTGTGTTAAAGTTACTGCCCACCACTGGATTTTCTTTTTTCTAATGTTCTTTATTCCCCTCTGAACAAACAAGTCCAATCCCTCAGTCGTCTGACATTTTCTATAAGTTATTTGATACGTTTTCTTACGTGCTCCAAGCCTGCATTTGCTCTGTATGATGGATCCAGTTACTCCAAACGTTCTACCCCACTAGCTGTGCAGCGTCAGTGACTACATGGCTACACAACACAAGCTGCGACTACGGCCATTTGGAGGACAACTTATCCATTATGGGTGACATGTTCAGCAGACACTGACCACAAGGCAGTCAGTAGTAGGCTGTCTTTCATCATTTAGAGCCTTACAGATTCACAGCCTCACTGTACAGTGAAAGCCATACAGTATGGCTACATATGGAGCAACAGAGCTCCATTCATTCAGAGACTACAATATGTCAGGCTTGATCTATGCCCTAGTTGAGTTTATTAGCATGTTTGCCCAACGACTTGTATGTGCTCTAAGTAGCTCATAATTCTTAATGACAGAACTGACTTATCAACATACCTATATTTTGTCCTTACATATAATATGAATTGTGTGAAACTCCCTTTTTTACGTTATGAACTATCCTTTCATAATTTATTCACTCCACGTGGCAGCCGTAAGTAAGTTTTAACAAATACACAAAGAGAACAATTTTTCTTTCTTCTGAATGACAGGTTAAAGGTAAACACCACTGTAACTGTAAAATAATCCAAATATGTTCCAACAAGAAAATACAGTACACTGTTAACATGGACATATTTCAGGGAAAAACAAACTGTGATCTTAGTTCAGCCCTCAGATTATACACAACAGCCTAACTTCTGGCACTGACCACTCATGGAAGCATGATTGTTAAACGTGGAATAAAAGCAATCAATCTGTGTTACTGTCTGTGTTAATCTGTGGCAGAAATAGAGCATTTTCTGTGTTATAAGGGACAATTCTTGTAGCAAAATTATATAGTAGGTTTGAGAAAATTTGCCCAAATTTCAAAGGACAATGGCTAAAAGATCCTGATTTTTCTTTTGTTCATGTTTAAACAATTTTGGAAGATACCTGTGCAACGTATAAATTAAAATTAATTAAATAATTAATTAATTAAAATTAATTACAATTATTATGAATATTAGAAAAGGTAAAAAAACAACAACACACTTTTGAGCATAACAGGCTCAAACATCAATGCTACTAATGCAATAACCTACACCAAGATTAAGAAGATACCTACAAACAACATTATCTTTTTCTCACACTTAATAGGTGCATAGAGCTGTTCAACTGCTCCAGTTGAATCAACACACGAAGAGTAGTTCTACACAAAATCTGTCATTCCCAGTTTGACCTTTCGGGAATTTGTTTTGAATCCTCATTACTTTTATGAAATGTCTCTTCTCACATTTTCATTTGACATTTTTCCAGCTCTTTGTATTTTGTCTAACGCAAAGAGCTGGCTCAAAAACCTCCGATGGACACATTTGAGTGGAAAATTCAACCCATCTTCGAACGTCAAGCCATCTGCTTTTTGTTATAAAGGCCTTGGTGGTGACTTTATTGAATCTGAATCAGCAGTAGCAGCTGTGGTATGATGTGTTTATATGCCTCTTAAGCTTTGGACAGGTTATAGTAAGGATGACAAGTCTGGTCCTTAGTTTCTCTTTTCGTATGTTGTCATTGGTGGCAATAAAATGAAAACATTCAGCCAAAAATTGTGCATGTTCCGCAACATAAACATAAATCCAACATAAAAGTCACACCGGAAGTGCATAACGAGGCCCAGCTGTAAATATCCACTGTCATTCTTTTATTTGCTATGTAATACCTTGTTATCAGTAGTGCAGAAGGTAAACAACTATAAAAGGAGCCACAGCAAAATAAGTTTAGCAGGATGCCAATTGTGATGCGTGACAGACACTGCGAAAGAGACGATGAGAAGGCACATAGGACAGATGGCAACAGTGGGGAAACCTTTCAACTGTGGCACTTACACAATATGTAAGATGGCAGCTGTAGTCTTAGAAGTACCTACGCATTACATAATGTCCCATAAATTGTTTCTTTATGACCCATTGTTTTTATATCCTGTCCTATTCCTGTTCTTAATTCCCCCTATAAATATCTTGATTTATCACTCGACTCTGGTTTTTTAGCTCTAATGCCAACACTTAGTGTCTTATTCTTCTTTATTACAGCTTCCTCTCTGTTTGTGTATTTTCAATATTCCCCCCCTCATGTTCCTTTTATCTCCTCCCGTGTATAACCCCGCTGCCCAAAGGCAACAGCATGTTCGGCGAGATAATAGGTGACTGTGCTCTCTGTTGCGCCATGCCAGTCATCGAGAAACTAGCACATCCTCTCTGCCAGACAGAGCTGAGGAGTATCCTCTTCAATCACCTCTAAGCCTTTTCGTGCTACACCTAAAATGAAGGATTGTAGCTGCTGGAGTGGAGACAAGCCACTGTCTGTCTGGTGTAGATTAGCCCATTCGCGCACACACACATACACATACACGCACACACACTTATGCAGTTGCTGCAAAAGTAAGTGGCATACACACAGAAAAAAAGATTAGTAAAGACATGAGTTCTTGAGTACCTGACTGTCTTCAAAAGATGAGAGGTGAGTCTTGAAAATATCTTGCTAAGGCTGATGACTAAAAACCATTAAACTGGTTGCCTCAGTGTCTAAAAAAACAAAAATAACAACTCACCCACCCAAAATGAACAGACTTTAAACTGAAGAAAGCTTTAGAAGTGAGTAATCTCTAAAGAGAGGAGGAAAGATGGGAAGGTGAATGAGAGACAGAAAAGAAGATAATGGGAGAAACTGAAAGCCTGTTGTGCCACTGTGGAGCATTTGGCGGTCTGTTAAATTATAACTATATAGCAATTTAATGTCAAGAATGGCTGTGAAAGTAAAGAGTAAAAATGTATTCCTCATCACGTCCTAAAACCAGTCCGACTCACGCTAAGACCAAAATGCTAATATCCAACAACACCAGACTCTGTAAATCATGGACCTTCTCACCCTGACTGTCAGGGAGCATCTCATAGTCATTACAGAATTCATATCATGTTTCCCCTCTGTGACCAAGCTCACCACAACCATTAAAGATTGCTCAAATTATTAGGTTGTAAATTCCAGCCCTCCATGCATAACCCACAATCCTGCCTCTTGCTGGCTGTATTCATTGTAATGTTATCACTGGCTCTGTAAGGATGGTAACAGCAGTTTGCATAATACTCCATAGCATTTTTGTGTCTGACAGATTATGTGTTTTTCCTCTTAGCATCTGACCACAGGTGAATTATAGGTGACACAACAAGAGCTAAGCGCACTCATTGGTGGTACACCCAATTCAAAACTAAGTGGAATATGGTTTTCCTCGCTATTTCTCTGATGTTTTTCTGTTCCAAGAGTGGCTGATCTATTATATTAAGTGTCATCCACAGTCAGACTTCTCCAGTGGTCGCAGAAATGCAGTCTCAATGCAATTAATGTCAGGCAGCAGTCAATTTTGAGAAAATTGGGCCCACTTTAAGCTAACTGATAATAAGGCACAGCAGTATGAGATTCAACAACTCGTGAATGCTGATGTGTTGACACTGACCTGTGGCACCGGTGACAGAAGAAGCTTTGCCCCCATTGTTTCCCTTAATGGCCTGCACTGAGATGACATACTCTGTTCCTGGATACAAACCTGTGGGAAGAGACAGTTAGTCTTAAAAGAAGCAAATGTCCATCAGTCTCTGATATAATGCTCCAAAACAAGGGATTTACAAACTTTGAGGAAAATCTTGAGTAGAAGTAGAAATTACTTTTCTGACTTTTCTCAATCAAATCCTTAAATTATGGGATCCCTTTTCTATTAGACTACATGAAATGTATATTATACCCACTTTCCTGGTAAAAGAACATTCACCCTCTATCAGTTTTACATATCAGAAAATTATATGAAAGAAATTCTGCTCCTTACCAGGTCATATACAACTCCAAATGAACTAGAAAATATGAGACATAAACCCATGTCATTATTTATTTATTTGTCATTATTTATTTTAACAAAAATTTAAGCCAAATCGCAGAAGTAGTGTATTTAATTTATACAATGCCAAGTAGGGGAAACATTCAGCCTGAGAAGGTCATTTCCAAATAAATCCAAGTGCATCATGTGAAAAAGATGATTCAGCATAAAACATTGAAGACAGCTGCCAATCTTCTCAGGAGTGGACATCCAGCAAATTCCCCTCCCAAGGCCAGACCGTACAATGCAACAAACCCAAGAGCTGGCTCTCAGACAAACGGGCCTCAGTTAACATGTTAAATTTGAAGTTCATGACAGTACAATTAGAAAAAGACTGAACAAGCATGGCTTGTTTTGGAGGCTTGGCAGAAGAAAAAGTCTTCTTTCTAAAAAAAGAAAACATGGCAGCGTAGCTCATGTTTGCAAAGTTACATCTGAACAAACAACAAGACCTCTGGAGCAATGTCCTTTGGACAGATCAGACGATGTCGAGATGTTTTTACATGATGCCTAGAGCCATGTTTGGTGAAAACCAGTCATAGCATGGATTGATTATTTGACTTGTTTTTGAATCATGGGATCTGGGCACCTTGAAGTCATTGATTTGACCAGGAATTCCTCTGTATACCACAGAAATCCAGAAATGTGAGGCCGTGTGTTCAACAGTTAAAGCTTGGCTGAAACAGTCAGCCTGAACTTAGTTTTTCTGCACTTTGGCTTTTGAATCATTTTGGTTTTTGTGAATTAAATAATGATGTTTAATATGTCATGTGTTGCTGTTCATCTCAGTTGTATATTTACCTAATTAAGATCTGATAATAAATAAATAATTGTTTATTGTTTCGTGATATGTAAAACGTTTGAACGGACAGAGAGCATACCTTCTTTTTACCATTGCTGTATATTGTGTGTTTATGGGATGATGTCATGTTCCATGTTTTATATTCCAACATTATTAATATTTTTACCCTAAAGCTTAATTTGAACTGAATATTTAAAGTAACTGTGTCTGTATATGTAAGTTTTTGTAGCACTTTTACAATATAAATTGCAAAGTAAAACCAGAAGATTATTTTAAATCAAATTGGATGACTATTTCAAGATTTATGTCCAAAAGCGTCCAATTCAAGATTCAAGAAACAAGGTTACGGGACTATTTACTTCTTATTGATTAGCTTAGAACCCATAGCTTACTCTAATAGCACAACAGTTCAAGAAATACTTTTGTACATTGTTCACAAACTTGTAAGACTCACCCACAATAGTGTGTTTGGTGCGCGCCTCTTGGCTCCTCTGTACCTTCAGCTCCTCCTCTTGCCCTTCTGGGTCAGTGTGTGTAAGCCTGAAGTAATCCATCTCAGCTTGAGGGTTCTGCCAGTCCACCTCAATAGAGACCTCTGTCTGGCCAAGAACTCGGATACCATCAATAGTTGAGACATCTGGGAAAGGTGATACAAGGTTAGGTGGAACTGAGTGTACAGACATGAAGCTCAAACTTAGAAGTCTGCCTTAAAGCTTTTGCAAACAGAAGCATCTGCCTTGCTCTGCTTCCACATGTCCCCGAGCTAGACAATGATCTCCCAGCACACTGAAATGTGACATTTCTAGGAAAGAGAGCCAAGCAAGAATTCCGCCTCTGGCCATCTGCAAGATATTATAACCAAATAATAGACAAATATTTGTATTTGGCATGAAACAAATATTAAAATCACTCATGGGTGCATTTCTTTTTTCTTTTTTTTTTTTGACATCGCCAGCGTCATCTTAGAAAAGTGCATATAAAGGTTTATTGATGTTTTCTAAAGTAACCTTTGCGTACTCTGTGCTTTCCCACATTTAAAGTCACAGCATTCACATAATAAAGTCAGGATAAACTAGTTTAACATATCACCCAGCAGGACACACAAATTAAACACAGTCATGCGGGGTTCAATAGTCGAGAACGATCCTTGAGCAGTTCTGTAGACTAACATTTTACAGCTATTTGTAAAGCTGTGACATCTACTACACCTCAAGAATCAAACATCATAGTAATGCTTTAGTGCCGTCTACACTTTACACAGTGTACATTGTGACTTAATTTTATTTTTAAACTTTACATGTCACATGAGCATTTTCACTTCTACCTGTATGTAATTACTTTAAAACAACAGTAACAGCTCAAAGCAGCCGCCATGTCAAAATGCTTCAACCTCAATGATCAGATCCCCATGTTCCCCAGGATGGGGAATCAGCTGCTATAGATTTGGAGGTGATGGGAACGAGATGACAGAAAAGGAGGAGCACAAACCACATAAAAAAAACCCAACCAAAAAACCAAAAAACCAAAAAACACAAAACAAAACAAATCAGAATAAGGGGAAAACCACTAAAAAGAGGATCGAAGTTAAGGACATGCAATCCTGGTATCCTGGTATGAGTAGTAAAAAGAAGGGCATAGAGAAGATATCAGTGCATCATGAATGGTTCCTCACAGTCTGAGTCTATAGCAGCATAAATGAGGGATGAAGATTGAAGTCTGATGTGAAAAGTAGAGAGCGTGTCTGTATGGTGAACCCAAACTGGGAGTTGGTTCCACAGAAGATGGGCCTGATAGCTGGAGTCTCTGCCTCCCATTCTACTTTTAGATAATCAAATAACCAAAAATGAGCCCGCAGTCTTAGAGAGATATGCTCTGTTGGAATGAAATGATACTATGAGGTCTTTAAGATATGATGAAGCCTGATCATTCAGAACTTTGTATGCCACTGCATCCTCCCATCTCTCAGAATATTCTGAATAATTCAGACGTTAATTAGAGATATGCTTCTGCAATTTCATGAGGAAAAAGTGAGTTCCATCAAACAAAGCAAGCGTTACCAAATGAAAAGCTTCTTTTCATGCCAGCTGTTGTGCTTCCCAAAAGAAAACTTAAAAACATCCATCCAAACCCTCTTTTGAAGTAGATCATTGTTTGAAGTTAAAACAAAAAGTATGTACCAGTCTGCCTCACACAACAATAAGCCAGATGATGGCGTGGCTTCTTATGCCCATATGTGAAAGCTATGCTCTGTGAGGTTTTCCATGGTAAACCAATCTAACCACACTCCCACTTTCTGCACGTCTCCCATCAATCCTGTCAAGTAATCTCTTTCTCTACACGTCTGTGTCCCGCCACATCTGTGAGCAAGTTCATGGAGCCATTTCCTTGAGAATTAAAGGCTAACAAGCCAGCCTTTAATGAAACACTTAGTAATTAAAGTCTTCAGTCTGTTCATTGCTTTTTTACCATAGAATTTCTGTGAAAGACAAAGACGAATACAGGAACAATCGTGCTCATTCTACAAAAGTAACAGAGAAAGTGAGGCAGGTTATCAATCCATGCCAGGTCCATATTTTCATTCCTGGACTCTACCAGAATAGCATTTATGGTCTTTTAATGCCAAATCACATACACAATTACGTTTGACTTCAAATGCAACTATTTTATCCCGAGAAAATCTAACTTAATCCCTAAGACCTGCAGGCCACACCTGCCCTCAAAGCCACGGTAGTCTTTAATAGGTAACATCTGCTTTCACTTTAAACCAGCAGCTCATTTAAAGGAAACATGCTGCACACCGCCCAGTTCTGCTACAGCACTAATGTCTGTTAGTCTGAAAAATACTCATTTTAAAGCTCTGTATTTGTTTTTTCTGTCCTGATCAGAGCCGTCTGTGCTCACCTGTGGTGGCTTCAATCTCGTCAGCTTCACTTTGGATGCCCTTAACCACCGCATGTACTTGGACAATGTAGGTAACCCCAGGAGTCAGTCCTGTGATGAGGTAGGAGTTCTCTGTGTTGGCGACCGAAATCTAATATGCAGTTGATGAGAATAAGTTTGTAAGATGAAATAGGTAATATACTTTTTTTTTTGCTACAACCTGTATTTGACACAGAAATGATCAAAGTAGAAAAACCTACCTGCTCCTGCGCACCCTCGTCATTTTTCGGATAATATGTCAACACATAATACTCGGCCCCTTGAACGGACTCCCACTCAACCAGGAGAGAGACGTCAGTCACTTGGACCACCTGCAGACCCTGAGGTGCCAAGACTGAGAGAACAAAGAGACATACACAGAAGTCAGGAATTAACAGAATTTAACAGTTATTTTTATCAACAAGTCCGCTATCATGTCCACAAGTTCTTTTTCTGATTTTGTTGTTCAGGCTTGCATTTTAATTTTTCTTTTTTGCTCGCTTCCCTGTCTTCTCTTCCTCTGTCTTGTCTATTTGTAGCTGTTGTTGTCCTCCTAAGGCCTCCACTATGAAGCAGGATTTCATCTTATCCATGTAACTTCAGGGTTAACCTTGGGTTAACTGGTGTTAAATCACTGCCTGTCCTGTAAAAGATCCCCCAGACCTCAGAGCTTGGATAGTGGCAGGGTTTAAAGTTTTTTTCTTCTCACCAACCAAACCACACACACATTCATACGACACGTTTAATATTAAATTACTGAACACTGCATTGTCTACAGCAGCTGTGCTGCTTTAAGCCCTTTTCATATTGTTCCTATAATATGGTTTCAGCTTCCTTTGCAGTTGCTCTGCTGCCGTACACTTAGCTATATTTTTTGATTTGACAGATGCTGCCAACACAACAACGTTCATATGAATTTGCCAACTAGATTGATAAACTCCTGGTTGATAAACAGCTTGATAGCTTGACCGCTAGGGTCAGGATAATCGACCCCAGCCTACAAGGGCTTCACCACCTGACTGTTAGGATAGGACTGTTAGGAGTGAATACAGATAATGAAAGCATAACCTGGATATGCTAAACTCACTTCGTACTACAAGGCCCTGAGGGGGGTGTACTATGAAGGAAATTAGACATAGATAGGTTTTCTTCAAGTTAGCTGGGTCAACAAAACCCCAAGCCCTAGACAGAGATAACACATGTCATTGTGATCTTTTATCAACTTTCTCTGTGAAACTGGGTTTTCTTAAAGTTTTAAAACTTTAAGTTTGACATAAATTGCTATCTTATTAGTCTTGCCTTGTACTGTAGTACAGCTCTGTGGTTTCCAAATGTTGATTTATTTTGTTTTTCCCTGTGTGTTTTTTGTGCTTTTACTTCCTGTCTTTGCTTTCCCTGCCGTGAGCTCTGTCAGGACATCTATTTTAACAACCTGTGTTTCCTGGTTGTCTTGCGTTTCTCACATTCGTCTTTGGATTTCAGTTCTTTGTGCCTTGCATTATGTTGAATTTGCTAATAAAGCCTATTATCAGTCCCCACAAACACCTTCACTGTGCTGCATAACACCTACACTTATTCAATCTACCAAAAGGCTTAAATCTTTTTTTTTCAGTTGATTGTCAAAGAACCAACAAATCATGAACACGGCAAAACAGGTGTTTTGTTTTGTTTTTTTACTCTAAATGGAAAGAAAGACTCCTTTAAAGTGCTTCTCTGGCCATTCTGGAAAAACATGGTGGGGGAGCTAAGAGTAAAAACAAACCAAAACCGCAGCCAAAACACAGAAGACGACATGTCAGCCGTGTTGGGGAGTGAGGCTTTTTAAAGGCAAGGTGAGCTTTTGTGGGTATGATAGAGGGAAATAAAATGGCAGACTGTATAGATTTTTTTAAAAAGAAAAAGAAAAAGCAAAACATGGCGTGCAAGTAAAAGCTTATTACAAGGGAAAATGAGAAATGTGAAATGAGTGGTTATGTGGTCCACTATAGCTTTGGCAAGCAAGGAATTCACATAAGATTTAGATGCTGTTCCACAAGGTAAAGTCAGGAAGCTCGATGTTTTTCTTCAAATGCAGCAGTCTTTTTCCATCAAAGAACAGTTAAAATTCTCCTGTTGCTAATCCAGGCATGCCTATCAACCATCTTTGCCCTTAAATATTATTTCAGAACAGCTGGTGTGAATACATTTGCATAATAAGATTGGAAAAGCAGAAAATAATGGTGATTTTCTGCCTTTTCGGCTTGAAAATCAGCAAAATCACACGTCTGGACTTCTTTGAGAAATTTGATTTTTTATGTGCTATCATCTTTCCTGTCTGTAGCTTGATATTTTAGAGGAAATCCTGATCTAGCTCATTAAAAGAGAACTGGTAAGGAAAAAATGGCTAAATATGGTTTAAAGTCAACTTTTCTAAATGTGCTTTATAATAAAAGGAAACATTTTAGAGGCCGCGAAAAAATAAAGGATAATAAGCTAAATACAGACCATCTGCATTATGTTGAGAAAGCTTTAATAATCTCACCTGTATTATATTCAGATTACCTCATTAAATTTGGTTGCATTTTTACTAAATCTTCTGGATTGACATAAACTGAGGCTAAGAAAACTATTCCTACTGTGCAAGGGCTGCTGATTTCTAAGCCATGAGGCTTCTGCCTTTGATGGTTAAGAACACAAAAGAAAACATTAAAGTGTGCCTCACTGGAAAGGACAGAAACTGTATCTAAACCCATACTTCAAGAGTATTGTTCCCATCAGCGCCCAAAAAACAGATTGGCGTCCATCAGCCAGGTGTTGAAATGGCAAATAGCCACATAAAACAAAGAAAGCGCCAACTGTTTTGCTTTTGTGCTCTTCCTCTCAGCCTTCTTATTACCGCTAACACCTAAAATCAACACAGGGTTTTTTTTTTCTTACCTCCCACTTTCCCTTCTTGCCTGACTTTTCCTCTGACACGGTGGCACTGTTGATGTTGGACTCCATTCAACAGCACCTAAACACGAAGCTACAGATCTGTTCTCTACCTCTGTGGTATGAAACACAGCTTGAAGAAATGGAATCGTCATCTACGGTTTGACATTTCTGACCTGCTACTGTGAAGTCTGAAACATTTATGGTTCACGGAGCTGCATTTGATGGATCCAGTTGACTTTAAAAAAAAAGGGGCTTTAAAACACATGCTTTGTGCTCTTGATTAAATACAGAGGAAAAACATGCCAAGACAACCATAGACAGATGTTAGCGTATAAATAGAATACTATTTCAAATGTAAGAGATCAATGCTATGAAAAAATAAAAGTGCCATTCACTTGCAGCCAAATGTTCAATATCTCTGCAGAATTGACTGTCACAGTGGGAATTCAGTGCTCATGCCTGGCAGCTGCTGCTCACGTTTCTGCTTTCCTGGCCTTAAATTGCTGTAAAATGCAATTTTGTACTCTGCTCCTCGGGCAGCACAGTAACAGTGATTTGGCGAGCAGTGCATTTATCAGGAAAGGTGAGATTCTTCTGCAGGGTAAAAGCCAGATGAAGCCCTGAAAGACTGATGGGTATTCTTATATTTCTGTGGTATTATGTGACCTGATGTTATAGGTTGTCTGGAGGCCAAAAATGCAGTGGTCATCAGGTCAGCCCACTGAAAGCGCCCCGTCGGCTGATATCTCTGAAATAACTGTCGGGAGATATGTTTTGAATTCCATAGTAGGTTTGGTCAGAAACCCTTCAGCATCACTGAGCTGGCTAATAGTTAACTGTAGGGGTTTACTGGCTTTTGAGGCAGCTCTTAAAGTTCAAGCACCATCAGGGACTCTGCTGCAGGTCATTACTGCATTTTAAAAAAGCTAAAGTACCAAAAAGTACAGAGCCAGTGGAGGAGGCTATAGGGGCTGTGAAGAAAGCTGTGAAGATAACAGCTGGGCTCCAATGACTAGTTTAATTTTAGTAAAAATATCTTCTTTCGTTTTTTTTAGCAGAGCAAGGTGCAGCTGTTGAGCAGGGATCTTAAGCGGCTGATGGCAAGATGTAACAGCAAATACTAAAACAGGCTGGTTGAAAAGCTTTTTCTGCCCTGTAGCTGCACCTATATGAATATGACTTGATATTACTTGTAAGGTAATTGCCATTCAGTTGATGTATGACCCTGGACACTTGTACATGAATCACACAGATGGTAGGAGATAGATGATTAAAGCCCAGACTGCACTGTTTTGGCTCTTGAGAATCATTCAGTCTGGGCATGAAAATGCTACTAAAAGGATGCATATGGAAATTTATATGAAGGTGAACAGGTCATTAGGGCCAAGTGTTATATTTTTTAACGGTCCCTGAGCTGCTTGTAGCATCTGTGCTTCGTGACATAGCACTTAAAATTCTCAGGTTAATGTTAGTGCCATAGAGGTGACTGTAGAAATGTGACTTTTCAGTCTCAAGTGAAAAATGCAAGTTTGGGTCACATAAAGTTAATATCCACACCTCGATGCACACAAAGTTCACTTCTTCTTTTTTTTTAACTGTGATTTTTCTGCAAAACTCCCCAAGCTATGTCTTTTAGTTACTTTGATCTTTAGTAGGCTGGATGAGTGAAGCTATATGATAAATGTGTCAGATTACTGAAAAGGTTTTTATTAAATTTCAGTAAATGTCTTCCTATGTCCTTCTTCACATTTTCAAGCCGTCCACTGGGCCAGATTGGAGTCGCTGCCAGGCCGATTCGGGCCACCGGGCCTTAAGTTTGACGCCCTTGTGTTAAAGTTTGCAAAGCATCAACAGAAATCATGTTAAGCTTACCTAACGAACAGTCCTCCCCGTAAAAGCCGTCATCACAGATGCACTTGCCGTTCACACACTGGCCATTATCTGTGCAGTCATTGGGACACTTCTGGTTGCTGCAATCCTCACCAGCGAAGTGTGAGAAGCACACACATTTCCCGTCTACACACTGGCCCTTGTCATTGCAGTTGTTTGGACAGGTCAGTTCGCTGCAGTCTTCTCCGGTGTAGCCCTCATAGCACACGCACTGGCCATCCACGCATTGGCCATTGTCATTGCAGTTGTCTGGACATGTCAGCTCACTGCAGTCTTCTCCGGTGTAGCCCTCATGGCAGACGCACCGGCCATCTACGCATCTGCCATTGTCGTTGCACTCATCTGGGCAGGAGGATTCAGAACAGTCGGGGCCTTCCCATCCTACGTTACAGAGGCAGCTGCAGGTGTCGTGTTGGTAGGTACCATGGCCACTACAGCTTTTGTCCACGCCTTGATAAAGAGATACGCCAACACAGCGGGAGTGAAAAGAAGTGAGTGAAGAAGAAACGTTCAGTTCATCATGGAAAGTCCCCAGCAGCCTAGTCTATCATGTCATGTCATGGCCTACCTGCAGCACCACAGCATCCCTGTGCACACTGGGTCTTAAGGTAGTTGACTTCTTCTTCGAGTCCATTGACTCTGTAAAGCAAAGACTTAAAGCTTTCCGACTCCTCGCAGTCACATCTGGGTGACTGCAGCTTGATGTTGTGTCTGAAGATAATGTCATTGTTTCCATTTTTTGTGGTCTCCATCTGCAGACCTGCAAAATGGATATCTTTGTTAAGTTCATGCTGCTACACCTATCTGTTGCTCTTCCCTCTTAATCTCTTAGTTATATCTTTCTTATGACCTGTTTCATCCTGTGTTGATATGTGTTGTAGGTTGCAGCTGGTGCTCCCCGGGATGTCAATTTTATAGATGTGGCTCAAGGTGACTTCCTGCTCTGCAGCTGAGGGGTCTGGCCGGGTGTCAGCAGAACTTGTGCGTGACCATGTGCAGAGTAGGGCCAGCAGGCACAGGGCCCTCCACAGGGGTCTAGCGGTCATTGCTAGTGGTACACTGTTCCAAAAAATAGTAATGTCAAAGTATCTTACTGTATATTTTACAGTTTTGTACTGTCTTTCTAGAATATCATTAAATTTACATAAGTAGACTGTGATTTTACATGTCAAAGGTAAAATAACATAACATCACTGTAAATATAGTAAAACACAATTTACTTGCTTTTTAAATATATTTTTTAGTACATATGCATATTTAGATTGTAAAAATACATTCAGAAATGTATCATAATTTCACAAATATTTGTCTGTTATGTGAGAGAATGATCTGTTAAATTCAAATGTAAAGCACTTTGGGTGCCTTGAAAAGCGCTATATAAATCCAATCCATTATTATTATTAAATGTAATACTATGGAAAAATATATAAAATGATCGAAAATTAATGGGAATAATCAATAATTAAAGGAGTATTTGAATTATAATTTTGCTAAAAATGTCATGTCATCTAGATCTGATTCAATAATTCAGAGGTAACAAGTGAAAATATAATTAATAGGAATAAAAAAAAAAAAACATATAAAACATTGCACGGCCACGCTGTGCTAATTATATATTTTAAATAATAAATGTAGAGGTAGGAATTGCAATTAATATAAATCTCAAAGTATTCACCACATTCCTGAACAGAAATAGGCCTCTGCACCTGGGGTGAGGGTGTGGCCATGAAAACAATGTGACATGCCATTGGATGTTGGGACACATAATAACATGACGCTAAGCATCGGCCAATGAATGTGAACTAACAACCACAAGGTCGCGGGTATGGCTGCACTGTAGGAAAAAATCCTAATATAAAAGTATTTTACTGTGCATTTTACAGTTTTGTTCTGTTCTTCTAAAGTTACGTAAATAGACTGTGATAGACATTTCAAATGTAAATTAATGTTAAATCACTGTAATGTAATAAAACATAATTGTCATGATTATTAAATGTATCTGTCTGTACATATGCATATTTAGATTGTTAAAATACATTCACAAATCATGATCTCACAAATATCTGTCCGTTATTTGAAAGATTGAACTGTTGAATTCAAATGTAATGCTATGGAAAAGTATATAACATGATTCCTATAAGCTTGTGTTACATCACATAAGTATTATTATCATTGCCATTTAGGGCCATCGTGGCTCAAGAGTTGGCAGTTCGCCTTGTGATCAGAAGGTTGCCGGTTCGAGCCCCAGCTTCGACACTCTTGGTATTGTGTCCGTGGTCAAGACTCTTCACCTACTGGTGATGGCCGATGGTGCGATATGGCAGCCTTGCCTCTGTCAGTCTGTCCCAGGGCAATCCATTATTATTTAAACCAACTGTTAACTGTATATTTCTGTACATTTACGTATTATGATTCATATTGCCACATTCATTGACCAGCACTTGGAAAAGGCAGAATCCCATGTAAAATTAGCACACACAACAAACTGTATTTTCATTACTGAAAATAACTGTATTTTCATGAGAAAGTTATTTTCTGTTATTTTACGGTAGAATTTTGGCGCCCAGCAGCCGGAATATTACCGTTTTTTTAGGATTTGTTTTTTCTAACAGTGTATTTGTGCAACTTATTTTTTATGTTTCAACATATAAAACAGCTCTGACATGCAAAAATAAAATCAACATTCGGGAACTTGTTCACTTTCAGTCTGGGAGTTTGTTTCTGGCAGGTTTGGTTAAGCTGTCATACTTTGTTACTCCACCTACTTCGTTCATCTTGTGACACACAGTTACCCCATAACCATTTTCCCTATACACAATGACTGGATAAGGACCAGCTGTAAAATTGTTACTAGATCTTCAGTTTCAAAACTCCCTCTGAATATATCTTTTTACCATTAGAATTTGTTGCCTTTGGCCCGGCAAGATTTGGAAAATGTCATGAAGTGTCTTAAAGAACTGACATGGACTCTGTTAGCAGAGGTTGCACATAGTCTAACAATGACTGGATATGGACTCGACGTGTGTGTTCTATGGTCTGAAGATCCCAGGAGTGTGAGGAAGCCCATGGAAATATGGCAGACAGTTTTGCTTCATGTGTGTGGGGGTACTCCCTTCTGAATTATACGTGTACAAAAAAGTCTTCTTATGAAAAGAGTACAAAATGTGGTAGAACTTATTAGCTAAGCTTGGAAAAAAATACTAACTACCTCATAATCATCTTTCCTTTAACAACAGTGCTGCATCTTACATATCTTCAAGCATAAAAATAACGAAACTCCAATGGTATCAGCTTTGACTTGTTCATACAGTCACAGAAAAGGGAATTGTAGTTTTACATATCAACACATAAAAAATAAGCTCATTCTGAGTAGGTTTTGAAATCAAGCTGTGTTGTTGTTTTTGTTTTAGTTATTTATTTAAGCCAAAATGCATGAGCTATAAGTGAAAAATTAAGCATACCCCATGATTCAACAGCTTATAGATGGACGGAAGTATCACACAATTTACTGTTGAACTTTCATTCATCCTTTCCACAGAAAACACACGCACACATTTTATACAGTGAAATGTAATAAGTGAATTTAAAAAAAGTTTTAATTAATAAATATATTTGACAAGAAAGTTTAAAACAGCTGGACAGAACATTATTTTAGAACATAAGAGAAAAATCCAACTTAAACACCAAATCTCTTAAAACCAGTTTTTAAAGCAGAATCCGTGCGTGTGTGGTTAATCAAACAGAAATTATATCTCATACTGGGGGGCCTAGGAGTCTTGGGCCCTCCAGACAGTTGCCTGCTAGTCTGTGTTTGAAATCAAAGACAATAACGTTAAACACCTCACAGCTCAGTGTGAGGTACATCAAATTTACTTCGAGGACTCTCACATTGGCATGAGCAAAAGCATATGGAGATGAAATATCCCATCTGTTTTTTAGTGCTGGACTATACATTTTGTACAGACTGTATCTTTGGCAATAACTGTGTGTAACAAACCCCTGAAACTGTAGGCGTCTGTTGTTGCGCCTGACTGGACCTGTGTCTCGTGGCTGACAAAGGCACAGATTTGTACCTTCAACAGTGTCTTATACAGAGCTGAGGACAGAAATACATAAGTTACATTAGATTCACTGGGGCAGACTACTGTATATTTAATCACAAGAAACCTGAACCATTGTGTCACCCTGTGTGTGTCGTAATGGAGCTCTCATTCCACAGTGTGGCAGTAGAAAGTGAATAGTCATCACTTTGGCAGAGATCGCAAACCATAAATTGTGCTCAGTCAGGCATTTCAAAGCTTCAGCGAATGCAGAAGCTTGTCCTCGGTGATGATGTCATTGTGTCTAATGACAGTGATGTCATGTGAACTTAAAACCTTGCAGCGGCTTCCCCGGGAAGCTAAATTACATGCTTTCAAAATAGAAATCCTGCTTAAGCTTCAATAGCCCTTTTGCCGGACTTTGGTTTGAATTAAACCTTATGGTACAAAAGTTTAAAAGGTGGCTTGAAGGAACACATGAGCTAACTGTGCTGAGCTCATGTGGTCTATGGAAACACAAAACCTCTAATCAAGTGAAGAAGAAAGAAGGAGAAACGGTGTCATGCTTGATAAATGCAAAATAAAGTTTTAATTACTGAGGTCAGCGTATGTGCAAATAATCCATATGAACCAAAATTTCCTTACTATGGTCAGACATACAGCTCTGGTTGTGAGCACAGCAACCCCACCCTCTGCTTATGAGGGGCAGCCAATCAGCTTTGCTTAAAGGGGGAGGAGCTGAAACAGCAGCTTTCAGAGTGTATACATGGCTTCAGTCTCACAGGCCTATACTATTCATGTAAACTGAGTGGCTCCACTGGGTCCAATACAGGACCAAATATACTACTGCACAAATAAAACCAGCAAATATTTCTCAGGCTTTTCCGGCATGTCACGATATACAAAAATAACTATTATTCAGTTTTATTTCAGTGTTTTAGCTCAACTTTACTATAAATTATAAACTCTAAGAACTGGGCAAAAACAGCTCTCTTATTTTGAGATTTATTCCTGTGTTTGCTCAAAATGTGAAATTTTGAAGTGGAAACAATGAATGACTTGGAAATCTATCAAAACATTTTCTCTTTGAGCATCAAAGACTAAAACAGCTGGAAAAGTTAAAAAATAATGTGCAGACAGAGAAACTAATACTTAAAATCCCATTAGACATTGAGAGAGAGCATTGGCCAGAATATTAAGTTGTCAACAAGCAGAACTAAAAACCTGCCAATACCACGATGACACCATTATCAGATTAACATATAATCTAAGCAGGGATCCTAGGAAACTGAGAATATGACAATATCTGACATTTTGAGTTACAGTTGAGTTACATGCTGTTATACGTGACATATTTTCAAACTCTAAAGTGGAAAGCTTCTCTTCATCGAGTCAACACATTTTATTTTGAGTTAAGTGCTGGAATATGAGTTCTAGCGCAAATGAATGCACACAACTCAAGTAGGTTTGTGATTCAGAATTCCCAGTGCTTTTTTTAGGGAGGCAAATGCACGTGTAATTATCATGACCAGTTCAAACTCAGTATATCCAGCTTGGTTATTTTAGCTGTGTATTTAACTACTGCTGGTCAAAGGCTTGAGGTCAGAGACCGGTGCCTGTGCAAACAATCCAAGCTATGACATCACAGACATGCTGTGTCTTTTACCCTATGCTGTGGTGAAAAACTAGACCTTAGAAGGTCTTTTGTCAATGGCCAAATCTTAGGATTGTAAAACTGAGATTAAGGCCTTAAGACAGGAAAATGGAAATAAAGTGAGGGGTATGGAGAGCGGAAAACAGGATCGAGAATTAGATGGATCAGTGGGTGAGGGAGAGTGAATAGGTAAGAGAAGAAGTGATGGAGAGTTGTGTGTTGGAATCACTGACACTCTAGCAGTTAGCCACATTACAGATGGTATAGTATGGTGTGTAATAGCACTGAGCACGGGCTCACAGAGATGCTTAACAAGCATGTTTATAGCTGCCTGTCAAGGTTTTATTTGATGCTTGCCTTTTTCAAGGCCTTTTCTTATTTCTCTTGGAGGAGATTGCAGTGTGACTTTCCAAGCATAGCACAGGGTCGTGTCTGACTGCTGAGACTGTCCTCATGTTGGAAAGACAGACAGATGGAGGAATTAATGGAGAAAGGAAATGGGATAAAGAGGGAAGTGGGGCAGTTACATTTGAATGGATGGATGGATGGACACCAGTTGGGCTAAAAAAAACAAAACGGAGCCAGTGCTACAGTGTGACAAAACTGCAGTTCTTTGAAAAGTGTTGGTTCCAACACTGCTTGACCATTTTGCACAAAAAATGTTACTGCTCAAACTTTGGACACATGCAGTATATTTCTTGCTGTGAAATTTTAGTTTCATATATTATACTGTTTTTGTAGTATTTGTATTTATTTTTGTCCTAAGTCTCATCTACCCACCTTCTTTCTTTTTCTTTTCCTTTCTTTTTTTTCATTGACATCTGAGGTCATGTTTGAACATGAATCACTCAAAAAGTATTAAAGATAGAACCCTGAAATTGTCACAGGTCTTTCTGATCGTAATGTTAAATCTCGATCTGTAATTTGAGATAGCTGCTTCAAAAAAGGTCTGAGTACTGGCTAGTTGAATTATGTATTTAAAAAGTTAAAGCAGTTCTGTGTAAGTCTCGTATTTGAGCACACACTAATAAAACAAATCACATTGCGAAGAGTAATTGTGTCAAGTTTTGAAAGTTATATAATTAGTAATCTAGGGTTTCACAGTATTGCACCATAAAACGTGTATAGTCCGTTTAACATCAAATTCTCAGTGTCATAAATGAAAATATTGCTATTTTGATTCAACTTTCATGCTGGTTTGAGCAAATCTGAACAGTTGGACCACAAAAAACATAAAATATCAGGAGCTAGTCTATTTTAAATGCTACAAAAGACTGGGATTTCCAGATGGTACTGTAATTATAAGTGAAAAAATTTGTTTGTTCAGTGTTTTCATATTTTTCATTTTCCAGACCCTCTTTGTAAGCGTGCACATTGACGCATTGTCAGCTCCGAAACACAGGCAGGTTTAAAGCCTGTTACAAAATGTTATCTATAGCTAATTTGACCTTTTTTTTCTTTACAACTCATCCTGTTGGACTTTCCATAAAGCTTGTGATGTGTTTTGATTGAAAGGTACTGTCCGCGAGGCCTCACCTTCCTAATTCAACTTACTGAACTGCTGTCCATTTTGTAGCATAGGAAATTTTTTGTACGTTTTGTAGTGCAGACTGTGGGCTCCAGTTTTGCTGTTTGAAATTCAAGTATTTTATTAACTCACCTACCTTATTAAAGTCACATAACAACTCCCTGTCATCCAAATATGGTTACTTTTGGCTCCAAAAGGCAACAATGAGGAAGCCAAAACACTAATGTAGATGTTTCAGTAGTCACTCTGATGCTGGTTGACATCAGAGTGACTAATCCCATCTTAATTTACAGTCTGTGAGAGAAATAGAAGATGGATGATGGATAATTGGCATATGAATGTATAAATGTGAAGGACAGTATAGAACAAATACGCCGTTATGATTTATTAGGTACCAATCATTCACTCCACTAATGGACAAGTGGAAGAGGGGGTGATTAAAAGTAAACTGACAGGCAAGATTAAATATCAATGAATGAAACAGATGGGATCTAAATAAAGGTGTAGAATTCAATATCTGCCATGACATAAACCATGATATATTTTCGATTATTGTAAAAGTGAGCTTTCTGGCTTTGGCGTCCAGTTGATTTGGAAACATAATTCAGCTGACTGCCAGTAATGACTCTAGACTGCAGGATAAAGCAGGGAAACCGATGGGCTTTCCACATGGGTCATTCGGCATTTCATTATGGCTTTCAAGCCAACACAAACCTAATTCAGAGTGTTTGTAAACACAGTCCTTCCTGACAATGACTTTCCTTTGAAAGCAACGCTGTGTTAGTAGTGTTTGCTGATATAATATTTGTTCACTCTGCCCATCTGTGTCCTGTTTATGAAACTTGGTATTTATGGCCTCCAGAAGCAGTGGAGGAGCCCTCCAAAGGTAACAAGAGAAATGTATTCGACCTGAGACAAGACTGTCTGGACTGGCAGACACTTTTCACTAAAGGCTGCTTGACAAGCTGTAAGGGATGATTGTGCATTTGTGTGTTTCTCTGTCAAAGCCTTTGAAACCTCACCGTGTTAAACAATCGGCCACAAGAATACAGAGAAAGAGGAGAAAAGGCAACTGCACATAAAAAGAAAAACAAACAGCTGCAGAGGAAAGCTTGTATCGGGAATACAGACTCTGAGAGAGAAATGTGAAGTAGAATAAGACCCGGTCAGTCTTTGCACATTTGCCCTATCCTCTCTAGAGAGCCATTAAATATCAGACAAAAGGCTGACTGTTTCACCGGATTTCAACTTTTGACTAATCTCTATGGAACAAACCGACAAGCCGGAGGATGAGAAGAGGTAAGGTCGTGCCTCATGTGTGGTTGCAAACTTCTAGACGTTCCTCTCCCTTCCTCTCTTCCTTTCACACATGGCAACTCGCAGACAGAACATGGAAACGAAAATGAATAAAACAAAGCTGAAAGCAATTATCGTCTGAGAGCAGAGCTCATATCTTCACGATTCTGTCTGTCTCCTACTGATACATAGACCACAAGGAGACCTCGATAAGGACCTCGCTTCATCAAAACCGCAGAGACTTAATTCCCCTCAGTGGGCTGACAGAAGAACCCAGTGAAAAGGCAATAATAAAGCAGCTAAATACCTGACATGGATTAGCTTTTCTAATAATAAAAGTGTTTTCAGTAGCTTTGCAGTAAGGTCATTTTCAGGCGGTTTGAGTAAATAAAATGACTGATGTTTCCATGAAAGCAGTAATATTATGCAATGTGAACACATTTTATAAGCCACCCACTCAGGGTTGTGGGTCTCTCTCTCTCTCTATCATTTTGCATGGCTCAAGGCCCACATCTGTAGCTCATTTTGCGAGGGCTTCTGTGAATTCGCGGTGCCAGTACAGTAGCATTAAAGGTAAATCTACTGGATCAACAGTCCTGCGAGAACATTTCTCACCTCAGCACATAATTGAATACTAATAATTTTTGTTATTATCATAGAGGAAAATCTATAATGGCAGCTTCATTGTCAAACAGCACGGGATTGTCATGACAACAATCATATTCATGATATGAAATTAATATTTTTAATACACCGTTAGAAAAACTGAGGCTGTCACAGTTACTCTGATGGGAAAATAATCACACTGATCACATTTATACTACGTTAAGACGATCTATCTATTTTTTTTTCATTCATAAATGTTTACCTGAACGCATGTTCTTCATATTTCAATGGAATACACTAAGTATGCTTTGATTATGCAAATTAAGCATGAAATGCTCACAGGAAGTTGTTGATCGTGTCAAATATCATCATAAATCAGTCTGTATCGCTTACCAAGGTTTACAAAACCTTCTCTTAAACCAAGTCCTGCAAAGCAAGCCCAGACTAACGCAAGAACAGCTTCAGTCCTGGGACACTTGATAAATTCTGACGTTGTGTCTCATTATCGCCCCTCAAACCTTCTGAGTAAAAAAGAGGTAAACAGGGTTCTAAAAATAAGGGAAAGGCTAAAGGAAGGTAGAACAGACAAAAAGAAATGCACAAATAAAAATATCCTAAGCAAGAGTGAATGTCTCTTTGAATCCTCCAAAAAAGAAAAGGAGCATATAGTTAACGTATCTAAGTTAGAAATGGCACTTAAAAATGAAAAGAATATGAATATGTCTTACCCTTGGGGGGAGCTTTGTTAACTTTCTCTCCTTTCTACCTTTCTTCTTTCTGACTTTTCTCTGACGGACCGAGTGTCACTCAGCAACTCTCTCTCTACCACCTGCTGACAGGCCAGGGCCAACGAGTCAAGGATCTCTGCACTGCCAGCGCTCTCTCCCTCCCTCCCTCTACAACTGTTAAAATCTCCTCTAAATGCCTGTAGGCCAATGGGCAGTTAGTTGGGGAGTGTCTGCTCTCCCCCATCCGCTCAAGTGATTAAAACAAAAATGGGGGACAAGAGAAGGAGATAATGAGTTGCATTTACTTCTGTTTACCTTGTGGCTCTTATCACTCGTAGTTCTCATTCGTCTCAACACTCTCGTTCCTTTATTTTTTCCTCCCTGTGTGAGTTTAGTTACGCTAGCAGAGAGCCAGCAGCGGGAGTTAAATTTAATCTCTATAGCAGAGATAGTAGCATTTAAGACACAATAACTGAGTAGAGGTTGGGTTAAAAGGGGCAAAACTGAAGCCAAGAAAAACTCTGAGTAGGTTTAGGTTAGAAGAAGAAAACAACTTAAGTGTCAAAATTGTGCACAAGAATATACAAGAAGAACTAAAGGGGGGGGGGGGGTATTTAAAATGGCATGGATATAGCAGTGGCATACAGATTGTGTAACATTAAATGAAAAGAAAAGGAAAGCCAGGGATATTTCCTGGAAAAAATATTGTCTTGGGGATGAGTTCTTGAGTGATAATAATCACTTTGCTGTTGGTTGGATGACTGGCAATTAGAAACCCCAAAGTCTTGATGTGATTTAAAACTTACATATTCTTCTCTCTGAAATATTTCTCACGTTATTTTCCTTTTCAATTTATTTCTGTGAAACGGGCCACCGCTAAGCATACTGTGAAGACACATAGCAACGCTAACTCTTTCAAGCCGACAGAAAAAACCACAAGCTTCAAAAACCTGCCTCCTCAGACTGTCATCACTTTAAAACATGCAATGAAAAAGTACTGCGTTTCAAGATGTTTCTTGTTAGCACAAAATAAAATGCAAAAGCTAAGTGCATCCATACAAGCGAGGGCAGAAAACACATCACCCGTTAACACTGCAACCGTTACTGAAGACCCCGTGTGTCACGGATGACAGCTTTAAGCTGACATAAGTAAGGTGTCAGATGTCTTTGGGGCACAGAGACCTGTGATCACATGTTTTCACCTTTGCTTTCTACTTTTTATTTTACATATTCACACACAAGGACCCCAGAATTCGATTTGGATCAGACTGAATATCCCACACTAAATATTCACTACCTCGTTCGGTTTCATCATCCACCTCCTCCCTGAAGATCCACAGATCTATACAGATCTATAGATATGTTAACATGGTACAACTGCACAATTAGGTGCTCGATCTGAGCAGGTTTGTCTATTTAAGCAGCACTTGTTGCACCATGTATGTCATCACGAATGTAAAATGTTTCCTCAAAAACTGGAATTCTGGGCAACTCTTGAGAAAGAATAATGACTTAGAAATAACAAATAGTCTCCTTTAAATAATGATGTAAATTCAGTCTCCCATATAAATATATAAGGTCATAAGTATATAAGTATTTAACTCTATAAAAATTCACTGTGGGTTTGCTGTTGATGAATGGGTCCGATTTTTTCTTTTGTTTTGTTTTTTTAAATAGCATATATATAAATAGCAATATTTTCCAAATAACTAAAAAGACCAATGATAGTATTATTGTCACTTTAAGACAGCATAGCTACTGAAAGATAACATCTGTCCTTCAGCAGCGGTATCTCTGGTGCCGTTAGTGGCAAACTCCTCCCTGGATAATGGACAGAGATGAATGGCTCACCATATGCTCAATAATGGCGTAGTCATTACAGAGAATTTACCTTTCTTCCAGAAGTTAAGACGTAACCTTGGAACATCAGTATGTGTTGCTAAGCCTTAGATTTGGTTCTATAACAGGGCTTTCTAGCCCTCTTTCAAACTTGCATTAGCAGACAACTGTGAATCTAGGACACTTTCAATTACACTATGCCTCCAGAGTAAAGCCAACAGTGATTAATTAAGTTGTCTTGACTTTCTTTTTATCAAGCTGAAAGATTCCTTTCAACTCGTACAAAGCTCTTCGGTCCTTGTTATTAGAAAAAGGCATATGTAGATATGAATCAGAGGTTTTTTTTAATTAATTTCGTCAGAGTGCAGAGTAAAATCATGAGAATAAGATTTGTATGGAGGAAAAAAGAGTCTGATCTGATATCCCCAATGACAAAAAATACTTCTTTTAAAAACTGCCTCTTGTGTGTCGTATGGCCATAGACATCCCAGAGAGAACATATACATATTTGTTTTCTTTCTGGGAGATAATCCATTTATTTGGTATTTCCTCCGCTAGATTTATAGTGTTTCTCCTGCATCTGCAGTATTTGTTGTACTAAGCCCTATAGCTTGTGGCTGTAGTATCAAATTGATATGCGAGTGGTATCGAGACCTTGTTTGGGATGTATTTATTTAAAGTTCTCTTAGCTATTTGAGATTGTTTGGACTCGATAAGTATAAAAACTATGCATTATCTTTGAACCAAAAGTATGACCTCATATAGAGACAATGGGTTTATTTTAAAATAACCATTGTTGTTATCAAACTATTGGACATTTTATGGAGCAGAATAAAGTATAACAAAATGTAATGTTAAATTTAAATATGTTACAATAAGCAACATACATGGTAACGTAGTATTTATTGTGAAAACTGTGACGAGTCAGAGAAATCAACTAGAGGTTACACACTGAACCATGTATTACAGTAGGCAATACTGTAACACCATTATTATCAGGTCTTTTTACCTTTGGTCACTTAGCACTGCATGAAATGTTCCTTCTCTTAAATTGTGTTTGTAGGAACACAACAAATGTCACAATCAGGGGCATGCATGCAAAGACTTGCCAAAAATTTAGCTGTAAATGTCATGAAGCATTAATGTTGTGTTTCTGCTGACAAACCCCTCAACAAGTGACTGATTTTGGTAAATTCAGTGCATCATAAATGGCATAACTGCTTCCTAACGATGGAAACAGTTTTCGTTGCTTTCCTCTGTACTTATTACAAAAATTGCAACTTCTTCTGAGTCATTTTCTGTTTGTTAGCAGTTGCTTTCAAGGATTTTGTAAAGAAAGAGTCAGACAAAAGTATCTGAACGGACTTTAATACTAAAACGTAACAATCCACTTCTTCTCATTTTTAATTCACAAATCTATTTAATATCAAAACAAGAAAGACCTCCATCTTTTGTATGCATAAATGTTACAAAAAAGTCTGCAAATGGAACTTTAAAGTCTATCCATACGCTTTGTTGTGGGGGCATGCTGTGCGGGAGGTGATGAGATTTGCATAGCTTCATAGGACAAAGAGAAACTATTTCATGCATGTCACTATAAAAGTTGACGGTGTGACCGTTTAAATTTTGCATTTTTGTACACTGTGAATTTTTCCCATGCTGGGAAATATACGCCACACTAACAGCAGATGTAAAAGAACTTTTCCCAGCAGGATTAATTTCATTTTATGGTTTCTTTAATGCGATGCATGTCTTTGCTCCTGTTCTGTATTATTTCTTTGGGAAAAAAGAAAAACTCTGAACTGTCTTTAGAAGAACCCACGCGCCTCTGGTCCTCAAATGAGTTAGCCTGCATGGGATAAAAATGCATCAGGGTGTATGTCAATTCTCATTTGCCCTGTGTGTGTACGTTGACATGTAATATGAAAGGATGTAAATGAAAGCTTTCTGAAGGTAAGAAATATAAAAGTACTAGTCTAGTCTGCCTAATTGGACATGGAAACTCCTCATCTTCAACCTGAGCTTAATAATGGAGACAATTCAAAAACAATGCCTGAAAACAACAACAGCAATAACCTTACTTTGTGTTTTGTTCATGACAGCGGAAAATCTTGGCTTTAACATCGCAGTTATTTTTCAATTAGGATAGGGTCTGGTAAGCAGGATTAGTCATGGCTTGTGGTTTGCATTTTTTCCTCATGTTTTTAAAACAAGTGCAAATATGAGTTTCAAGCACACGGTGAGAAATCATTATGAGATTATGTGAAGACAGATATATTTTGTTGCAGCTGACATTACAGTGCGTGAGACTCTCTGTTAGTACGCTTGATTGAACTGACAGGTAACATTTCTGTCACAAGGTGTAGCAAAAACAAGAGAATTGTCAAACCACAAACATTTTTTTATGATGCTTTTGTTAGGACGCCTGGGTCGTTGACCCATGTTTGAGTTTATTATATTAGTTATAATTTCTAGTCTTTGGTTTCTTTGTCTGTGTTCTGTCTTATGGTTTACGTCTCGGTTTCCTCTGTTGCAGTCCCTGCGTGTGAGTCTGTGTCTTTAGTTCAGTCTGTGTTGTTTCCTGCTTTATTGTGAAGGTCTGATGTTAATGTATCTGGTTTTGCTTCCCCTGTTTCGTTAGGCCTGATTTGCCCCAGCTGTGTTTCCCTCCTGTTACCCATTCCCTGATTGCTCCCTCTGTGTATTTAAGCCCTGTGTTTCTCTGTGTCGCGATCTACCCTCATATACCCTTATCTTGCTGTGTAAGCGTCTGTCCATTCACCAGCCTTGTTACCCTTTTGAGTTCAGCATTAAAGCTGTTTAAGTTCACGTTTGTCTCCGGAGTCTGCACTTTGGGTCCTTTTCCTGCCTGCACACAACCTTCACACAACAGAAGATCGCGACCAGAACATGGACCCCACAGACTCTTTTTCCTCGGAGTTCAACGCCGAGATAATGCGGATGGTGAGTCTGCTCAACCGCATTGCCCAGTCACAGGATTTACGGACTATGGCAGTCGGGCTAAGTACAGTAGATGCCATCATTAGGCATAACCCTCAGCTTACTCAGTTTGCTAAGGACACTAAGTTGGCGAGAGCAAGTCAGTGCTGGTGAGCTTGCTCTCTCACTCACTAAATCTTCCCCATCGCTGCTTCAGCAAGACACACACTCTCCACCTGCCTCTACGCTGCTATGGACCTCCTCTCCTTTCACACGCCAGTCGGGACCTTGTTCACCTGTCCATTCACCAGCCTTGTTACCCTTTTGAGTTCAGCATTAAAGCTGT